TGAGTCAGAATGATTTCTAAAATTGCTACGGAAATATAGACCTCTAACGAAAGATTTTAATAAGAATGCATTACCGGAGCTGTGCACACACAAGAACTACCTAGAAATCCCTGAGTATCGAGGTCTTCGTTTGCAGGACCGGAAACCCTTCTAGCTGCAACGTCAATGCATATCCAGCTTCTTTCTTTCATTCGTGGTTTGCGTTTAACCTTCTCTTATGAGCACATACGAACAATAGCAAATCCAGTCAAATTTAGGAAAGCAGGTCTGATTCAACTACCTTTTATATACACCAGAAAAGTAGAACTATCATGGAAGCTACCATAAATGTAGTTATAAAATGATCAACTGTAGGGCTATTAATGAAGTTTCCATCCCTTCAACAGCCAGATAATAGTGAAATCTACACAGTGGGTCAATTTTGGCTGAGAAATTCGTTTAGTTTCATGCTCATTTTTATAAACTCCTCTGGTCTCATTCGACTTAAAACGGTAAATCCTGATTACCTCCCAGTTGTTAAAGTTACCTCAAGTTTTAAAAGAATTGTAGAAATCTGATAACTGTCCTTTCTCTGTTATTTTTGGTATTTTTCAGTACACGCACCTTAGAGATGCTTAGAAATCGAAAAAAGAAAGGATTTTCTGGAAATGGCCGTTTAAAGAGCGGATAATCAGACTCTTTGAGGCTAGTTTAGCAAAGGTCTATTAATTTGGTCAATGAAGCCTCTGCCATGAAAGAATGTTAAGCAAAAGTCACCAATGAATCGGTAATGAGGTGAGACAAGAATAAATGAGGAAAATAGGCAGTACTAACGAAGGTGAGATAGCGACAGGGAAAAAAAGAGGCAAAAGATTTCCACTCCTAATTTCAAGGCGCTACTTCTTAGTAATGTGTGGTGAAGGATGACGTTAGACTTGAGAACTAATTCAATCGCACTTAGGTTCCCCTCATCTAGGGCTAGGCTCAGCATGGATTCAAGGGCAACATAGTAGAACTACTGCTTTAGGTATGATGCTTTTGGCTGTTGACCAACGTATGATAAGCATAATTTAGTTGCTTTTCTTCACCCAAATTTTTAACAAAAAGTAGGCTCGTATTTGCGCGAAGTTGCTGCTGTTACCTCAGCCCCAACATTAGTCATATAGCTAACTACAGCTGCTATGGACAAAGCTTTTAATGGCGGTAAGAACTATCACATCATTGGGAAACTTGTGTTAAGCGAAAAGGAGTAATATGACTTGGATCTAACCTGGCACATCCCTACTTTTAGTGATAACTTTTGGTCCCAGAATCCACATTGCACAGTCCCTTTAAGTCAAAGGGCGCCGCACACCTTAGCTGACAGCTTGCCTACCGAAGAGAGGTCTATTTACAAAGACTTGGTAATGATTTTATTGGTATTCCCCCACTACAGTTGACTTCAAAAAATCACCTGTTTAAATACAACCTTGGTGTGCTATGATGCAAGGTAAATTAAGGCTTTAGTACTTCATGCCTTTAAGCTTTGCCAATTGAAGAGGTAGGGTGCGCATTCACTAAAGTCGTAAGAAATGCTTCATGTCAATGAAAATAGGACTAACTTATTACAAGAGCATAAAAATTACCCCGAAATGATCCAGACCTAAAACACATCATAAACACTGAAGCACGAAATCTACCTCCACGGTCTAGGAGGTGTGTTATGTATACAATGAACAAGTTTAAAACAGAGGATTTCATGTATAGACCCACATCTCTCCACTAAAAGGCTGGTCATTACAGACATACTTCATCTTCTCAACAATCAGAGTGCGATGTAGATCGGGAAGAACAGGGATTCCCAGCGTCCGTGGGGTCATCTTCGAATATCGTGTTACGACTGCCAAAACCAGCATTAAAAATGGGGAGTCGCTAGCAGTTAAAGACCCGAATTATGCGGTTTGCATGTTGTGCCCAAACTGGTTACAACATAGTGTCTAGTGGAAATAACCAGTGTAGTTCAGTGCGTATCACAGACATCCAAACACAAACGCCTATCATTTTTGAGTTCATGTGATATCACATTACTTTTTGTTCCATGCCAGTGCTCCGTAAAATAAGCGTTACGCACTTCCCTTATTACTGACAATAAAGAAATTATAAATCGGTTTATGTATACCAAAATAAAATCTCTCAGAACAACAAACGCATTGCAAGTCCTTTCTGACATACGATTGCCGGACTTATTCAGGAAAAACGATATTAAAAAATAGCTCAGCAGTTAAAAGACATAACGAAATAGCAAGTGAGGTGCACTAAATTTTAATCAAGTGCCTGTATTGCTTAAAGTTCTGGCTATACATGCAACTCTTGCTCTCCCGTGTTTTAATCATATGCATGGCTGAGAACTGATCCACTGAGGACCCTTGCTTTTAGATTAAATGCACTATAAGGTATGTTGCATGAATCTACACATCCAGCTACCTTTTTTGCAAAAATGTTTTTTTTTTACAAATGCTCAATATGTCCTTCGTCATTC